TCTGCGATGTCTCTGAATTCAGCGGCGATGGCTAAGAGGCTGGCCAGGCCATCGCATGAACTCCTGCTTAAAGCTCAGTATTGCAGGGACAGCGCGATGAATGATATGCCATACTTTTGATGTGGAGATACCATGACAAGTGTTGATCACGTGATAGAAGGTATTCAATGTTCCGAGGAAGTAAAGAAATACTAAAATTTGCTGTCTTGCCTTTAGTGCTCTGTTACGTCTCGTTCTACTGAAGCTCCAAACGCGCGCCTATTAATTCCAAAAGATGGACGATGGCGTCCACAGGCAGACGAAACTTCTCTCAAAATTCCCTTGGATCTTCGATGTTGGAAATTCCTAGGTTGACGGTTAACTCGGACGTATTAGCAGCTCGTCAAGTTCCTCTTCATTAAAAGATGGCATATAGTGACGCTTTAATCGCCTTTTTCAGAAGAGGTACTCAATGTTTACAAGTGACATAAACCATGTATTTTTCACTTGGGATTTAATCGCCGGACCCTTGAAACAATACAAGTCGGACTCTTGTAAAAGTTTTATTAAATTTGATACTTACCATCTTTTACACTTGTAGCGTTACACCCCTGTAATTATAAGTCAGACACTTGGACTGGTAACCTGGACTTGTAACGATGTTTATTAAACTCGTTTTTGTCTGCACTTGTAAATAAAACGGTCCAACAATGGTAAAAGTGCGATTGAATTAACCCCAGCCTTGGCTGTACTGCTGAAGCCGACTGTGTGAATGTCAGCGGTTTTTGTGGGACCCAGTCACTCCTCAGGCACCTTGGGAATATGGCGGCGTGCATTCGTGAAAGAATGTAGTTCTTAGCCTATTGTATTTAGTTTAAATCCTTGGTAACTGAACCAAATTTTCAAGATCGAAATAATATTACAGACGCCAGAGGCCATAATCAAAAAACGGTGAGTGAATACGCAAGGTAGTGTCACTGATTCATAACTTCGCGGTCACAGAAAAAGTTTCTTTACGTGTTTGATTCCGATTACTTAATTAACGATGTATTACATACAGGAAGTAGTGTTAGTACCAGCTAGGCGGTTTATTTTGAGATATATGTGATCGGAAGAGTTTCAAAAAGGAAAAGGGGCCTGGGAAAAGCTTTAGATTCATTTTATGGAACGAAATAACGAACATTTATTCGGCTGTCGTACGGAACTAAGGATCTTGCTTCCAGACAAGCAAGCCTTAGCAAGCAAGCAAGCGTTAGCTTCTGGTTTGCGAGATATTTGTTAACAGGATTATGTTAGTGATCCTATCATATGCAGAAACTAAAACTGAAAATCATAGCAAGCAAGCAAGCGTTAGCTTCTGGTTTGCGAGATATTTGTTAACAGGATTATGTTAGTGATCATATCATATGCAGAAACTAAAACTGAAAATCATAGCTAGATGTCAAATTCCATAGAGATGACTTTTATTGTAGTTCTTATACCACAATGTATTCCAACTACCGACCAGTCTGCCAGAAGGCGGAATCATTATAGGCTTACTGTGTGGAATCCGAATAAAAGCCTTTTTTCAGGGAATAAGGCTGACACATGCTGTTTATTGTTAAGGGAAATTTTCTCCGGTAGCCAAGTTTGAATGAAAAGAGAACCCATAGGAACTTTATGAAGATTTTTAGACAGTAAATTGTAAATTAATTAGTTTAATTTAATAAGCCACTCGCTGGTTGCTTAACAAACTTAATCAAGAAACACAAAAATTATC